AAGATGTTAGCCATCTTATGATGCAAAGCTATAAGATGTGGTGCCACTTTCTTCTGAGAATAGTATGACGTTTCAAAACGGAGTTGCATAACACAGGAACATGAACAGACGCATAACATAATATTCTCTTCTGCTATTATAATCCAGTGAAGAAGTCTCATATAATTCTACTTCCACAGCGATAAGCTAGTAGTGAGAATAATGGCGATAGTGACCATAAATAATCTTAGTAGTAATAATGACGAGCACATTAACGATATAAACTCTAATGAGAATGCTCGCAATAATAACAACGATCACAACAACATTTTCCTCGCTGATAATTGAACTAGTGTACCGCGAATCTCAACTCGCCAATTGGAGGTTTTGCGAACGGAACACCAAGGAATGCGTCCACTTGTTTGTCACCTTCGGATATGAGTCGTTTGCCGACTATCGAACCGTATTTGGTGGCCACTTGTCGACTGGGCAATGCATCCTCGCTGAACACGTTACTTACTGTATTACCCATTCATTTACNGTGGCCACTTGTCGACTGGGCAATGCATCCTCGCTGAACACGTTACTTACTGTATTACCCATTCATTTACAGGTAAATGACTTGTTTACAATCCTGAATATTCACGCAAACTTAATATAAACCTTAGAACGATTCAGAGCAAATAACGATTGTGACTAGTTGAACGACAAATCCACTGAAACATAGAATCAACTCCATGCCGAAGAAAACAGCACATCGTAATGATCTATCAGCATCATAATGACGTCTACACTGGGATGTTATCGCTTTATTTTGAGCAGCTTCTATTGAACACATGACCCGGAATTATTGTTCGCTGGCCGGCTATCATATCGCTAAGTGAGCATTGATAAGACAATTCTTATCATTCGTAAACAAACAAGTAGAGTGGTGATAACTAATTTTTCTATAGCACAAACCACACATCAGCAGTTTACACTAGTTGTAAATAGCCGTTGATTACGTTTCTATGACGAAGTATAATTACTAATCGTGACAGTTTGATAATGATGATGATTATTGGTAATGTGGTGCTGTGTCAATGCAATTTCATCTTATTCCTTTGATGTTCATAGTCGAGTCATTCACTCATCAAACAGTCTCGTTTATCCGAAAATGTCAATAAGTGAGGGACACAATGTCTACGCTGCTCTCAAATTATACTAAAAATTAACAACGGCAACACTCGCAATAACACTGAATTGTGTCATCATTTTTCTCGAATA